TCAGGTGAGCCTTGTTTTAGGCATCACCAGAGCTCTGCCAGCTTTTCAGGCAAACCTGCTCAAGATATTTAACCATCTGTACCCATTAACTGCAGCAGGATTGTGAAATGCAGGCGATTACTCAGCACTTAGAGCGCTGTGGTGTCCTCCTTGTTTAAGGAGGGTGGTGACAAAGTCAAGAGCAGGTCACTGACTGCAATAAATGACTGTAACTCCTTTAAAATGCCTGSAAAAGATAATGGCACCTCGTGCCTGAGTTGGCTGCCAGGAGGTCACGAGTTTGAGCTGCACATTTATCTCCAGCCCGCAGCTTTTATTCTCAGCCACAAGGAAAGCAGCAATCATCTCCCTCCAGCCCTTTCCTCCCTGAAGGAGCAGGCACAGCCTCACAKAGCTCTCTGGGAAAGTCAGGGCTCCAGAGACAGCTAATCCAGGGAAAGATGCTTCCAGGGCCCGGGGGAGCAGGGAGGGGGTATTTAGGAAACAGGAGAGTCCAGAAATCCCTCTCTGCTGAGAGGAGACAGAGCCTGTCCCATTCACAAAAACTTCAAATGGATTCTCTCTGTAGAAGAAAAAAAATACTTTCATACTCTAACAAGATTAGAGCAGATTATAACTATTTTTTTTTTCAAATTGGCTCTTAATAAATCCTCTTAAACGAAGAATCCTCATTTGGCCTGCAAAAAGCTATATCCCTAAAATCATAAATGCAGATTCCTGGTGCTTCTGCCTGATCCTCCCTGCACAGGAGGCTGGAGAAGTGGCCAGGGCTCCATCACATGGGGTGGGGACACAGCAGCAGCAGCAGCAGCCACCCCTGGGGACACCTGGAGGGACATGGGAGTGACTTTGTGAGGACAGCCCCAAACCCAAACATGCACCCAGGGGTTCCAAACACTCAGTGCCTGTTCCAGTGTGAAAGGACACAGCATTTGCTCTCGTTATTGTTAGGAAAATTAATCCACAAGCACCAGAGGTTTATGTCCAAAAAGGAGACAGAGGAGTCCCGCAACTTTATTCATGAATAAAGGGAGAGGTCATGGGCATTTCCCATGGGGTCCCTCAAATTCATAGAGGACGCAGCCTCCTTTTATCCCAATTTCCCGGCCACAGTCCCCTCTCTCTTTCCCCATTGGCTGAGGTACTTGAAAGTTACAGGCTCCCTGAAACGCCTGATGAAACCCCCCCTTCTATCATAAATTGCCCCCTTTCAATATACATCTCTGTGTCTCTGCTCGGGTAGTTTATTTACATAGTCTGAGATAAGTCAATCAGTGGAATTCCTATGGAAATCCTTCCTATTGTTTCTTTTTTTATCTCCCAGTGTCAGCCTTATCTCACTCCAGAGCCCAGAGTCAGAGTTTGTTTGTAAAGACATTCCCTTCTCCTTTCATTATGTAACTGGGGAGTTGTGGTCCTGGGGCAGCATTCCTTCAGGCACAAGGCATTGACTGTGTGGGCACGGGGGCAGAGTGGCATTTGTGAAATCCACAGCCTTGGGATGCACTTCCCAAAGCAGGGAAACACCCCCTGAGATGGAAGGATCTCCCCATTATTTGCAGTCCACTCACATGTGCCAGGCAGRTGAACTGCTCACTTCACAAGGGAGGAATCCCTCTCCTCATCTCATAGGAAAACCAAAATCCAAGCGGGGTTTGAAGTGTTTTGTCTTTTCCCCAGGCACTCTCTGAATCACCTTCCCAAATGCTAAAGGGCACAGATACATGTTAAGGCATTTTCTTAAGGAAGTTCCTAACGAAGTTCAAGCTCCTCGTAACTCATCAGACTTAATGAAGAAAAGCTCTTTAAAAATAAGYAAGAATTAGACAACAAGAATTGCTACCAGTATAATTTATACAGCAGAAATTCCCCTTCCTCTCAGGAACAGCAAGTTAGAGAGAAAGGACAGCTTAGAACCTCAGCTCTGCTGCACATCTCCAATGCCAGAACCTCAGCTCTGCTGCACATCTCCAGCACCAGAACCTCAGCTCTGCTGCACATCAACACCAGAACCTCATCTCTGCTGCACATCTCCAATGCCAGAACCTCAGCTCTGCTGCACATCTCCAACAGCAGAACCTCAGCTCTGCTGCACA